CACTAAGTTAATTGAAATAAATCCTTCTTTTTCCATAAACGGAATTTTGAAACATTGATAATTTGGCAAAAATTCCTTGATTTTTAAAGTTTAATCGGCATTTTCCTTTAGGCTCATTCTTTTTGCTCATTGTCAATAGGTGTACAACGGAAAAGACGAGATTTCATCACCACAACGGCTACTTTTTTAGGGATTTTTAGACTTGCTTACTTGGGTAATTGATTCATTTGAAACATTGAATTTTGAAAAATTACCTCTAATTTTGAATTCTACTTTTGTGTAGAAAGAAATGCTGAAAAAGTAGCCGCTAAAGGGGAAAACATCTCGTGTTTTCCGTTGTAAACCCATTGACAATCAGAGAGACAAATGAGCAGCCTGTTAAACCATCAATTCAAACGTCAAAAAACTCGTTCAAGCTTAAAAGTGCAACGGAAAGGGAAATGTTTCGAAAATGAGATAAAATTGTATTTGGAAATGGAAATGATCGCTCTAAAATTCAAAATGAAAACTTGCTTGGTTAATTGATTTATTCGAAACATTGAATTTTGAAAAATTAGCTTTAATTTTGAAATTAGTCTATCTAAAAAGGGAGATTAGTTTTAGAAATGTAAAAAAGCTAGAATTTGATATAAAAAGTGTATTTTTAGGGTTTTTAGCAATTATTATATGACATTATGACGTCATATAATAATTTAAAAGACCGAGTTTTGAATGTTGATCAGCCGTTGTCGTGTTGTTGTCACATGTTTTGTTGATTAAAATAGTTAGTTTTTTAAAAAATGGCCTGGATAATTGTCTTTCTTTTTAAAATTAATAATCTCTACCAAAATTGGTTTTGTAAAAAGAATTTGCAAGCTTATATTGTCAAAAAGAATTAGAAAGAAGCATTAGCAATTTTAGTCGATAAAATTGAAACTTTCAATTTTTCAATGTCACTTTTGTTTTAAAAAGGGAATTTAGTTAGTTCTGATTATGTCTTTACAACCTTTTTTTTTCTGAAATGTTTTTAAAGCAAGAGTTCTAGATTCATTTAATAATCTCCACAATTATCGCCATCACCAGACAAGAATTGTACTTAATAAACAAACAAACAAACAAACAAACAAAAAAACAAAAGTTGCACTTTAAAGTTTCGAATAAATGATCCTGATCTATTATCAGAGCTAATTATCAAAAGCTGAAGATGAAAGGTAGCTTGACAAAAATGAAACGTTAAAGTTTTAAAGCTTCAGAATGAAACCCAGTGTCAAATTCGTTTTTTGGTATAAATCGAATTTTTGTTGTAGAAAAGTTGAATGACTGGGTGCCAAAGATTAGCCGTTTTACTTCACAAAATTGAAACTTTAAAATTTTTATCTGTTACAGCTTTAAAAGTGACACCCAATTAGGTCCAATTCAATTCTCCCAGAAAACTGGACTGAAAAAATTTGAATCATAAAGATCAAAATCAAAAGAGTGACACACAAAGACGAATAAAACAAGAGAAATGCAAAAATTTATGCGAAGAATTTTTCGAAACGCTTCATTGTTAGCAAATTCGTGAAAAGAGTCGATTCGATTGTCTTTTTGCGCGAAGAAAAGACGAATTTGTTATCTCCGAAGATCGAGGAATCTCTTTTTGGATGGGCCTTTTTTTCCTGGCTTTGAAACCGGAATATTTCTCAGCTTGGAATTTTGAAATTTTATTAACAAGATAGGAAAAAGCATCAAATTGCTATAAGTATTTGTTCTTTTAGCAAAATTCAATATTTATTCACTGAAGAAATGCATGTTTCAAAGTGAAGTGGATAAGATCGACAAATCCGACATTAATGCCATTGTCTGCATTTTGTCGGCAGTGAGGGCTTCCTGAAATGCAAAGGAAAAGTTTATAGCGGATAAACTTGAAACTGAACTTAGAAATTCGTTCCTAAAATCTGCTAAGTGGATTTTATTTAGGAAAGAGAAAGAGACAGACTAGACAAATTAGAAGTGTTTATGGGGGTGGGACAAATGCGACCTTTTTTTTGCGCACCTGGACATTTGCGCACCTTTTTTTTGCTGGAAAAGGCCTTAGGAAAGGTCGTAGAGCTTCAAAAATGTTTTCATATAAGGGAATCGTATGTTTAGATTCCGAATTTCGACAAATCACACCTCACTGACACGTCAAATCTGGGCTAAAAGGCAAAAACTACGCAACTTAACGCTTTTCCGCAGTTTTTGTCTTTTAGCCCAAATTTGACGTGCCAGCGAGGTCTGATTTGTCGAAATTCGGAATCTACGCATACGATTCCCTTACATGGAAATATTTTCGAAGCTCTACGGCCTTGCCTAAGGCCTTTTCCAGCAAAAAAAAAAGGTCGCATTTGTCCCATCCCCGTGTTTATCTCAACAAATGCATGTTTCAAAGTATCCAGCACTGAAATAGTGGACTCAAAAATTCGTCTATCTTGGAGAATTGATATCTTGGAGAATCTCATTTTTTCCCTCTTTATTAACACATTAACGACCGCGCAACCTTTTGCGAAACAGTCGATTTGAACGAGGGATCAATAGAGAATAACCAAATCCCAGAAATTTGCACATGAGAGCTTAAAATATTCTAGAATCCGAATCCGAGCTCAAATTTAGGCCAACAAACTCCATACAGTCACATCCACCACTTAATAACTTTTTTTAATGTCTGCTAGGACAATTTAATCATCCTAAAACTCTATGTTTCAAAGTGTTTGGTATAAAATAAATCAATTAAAGGTTAACATCTCCTTTTTGGTTTTATTAATGGGATTAAGGGATACAATTAAAGAGGAGATGTTAACGCTCTTTGATTAACGGATACAATCAAAGAGCGTTAACATCTCCTCTTTAATTGTATCTCATAATCCCTATAAAATGATTTAATACCAAATGTTTATTACTCAAACTGTTCAAAATTGTTTTTTCTTTCAATCATTTTGTAAAGAAAAAGCGCCAAATTGCTATAAGTATTTGTTCTTTTGATAAAATGTAATTTATTTTTGCTGAAAGCTGAAAACCGTCCTGGCCGAGGAACCGGAGCTCTCCAGTAATTGGAGTGACATCTAAAGAATGAAATTAGTAAATAGAAAGCCTGATAACTAAAAAGTTGTGATTAACATTTGTGACTAACAAGGGAAGATCAACCGAGTGTGGTGACCAAATGAGCCAAATGACAAAAGACAAAACTCGCTTTACAAGTAGTGATCCTCGAAATTTATTTGCTGAAGAATTGCATGTTTCAAAGTGAAGTGGATAAAATGGAGAAATTTGACATTAGTCGGTCGTGGTTTTGAATTTTCACAACGTTAATTATTGATTCTTTAAATGAATCATTTTCTAGCTTACATTCCCACAAATCTTGTCCCTAATTCTTCGATCTTTTGCGGTCAATTGTGTGCCTAATTCTTTGATCTTTTGCAGTCAATTGAGTACCTACGGGTACAGCTTGTATTAATGCAGATCCTGTGCTAATTCAGTGTTAATTTTTTTACATTTTTACACTACATTTTCTACCCTACATTCCAGCAAATCTTGTCCCTAATTCTTTGATCTTTTGCAGTCAATTAAAAGCTTAGAATCAATGCTTATTAAGTGATTTATTCATTCATTTGTTAATTCATTTGTTAATTCATTTATTTATTCATTTATTCATTCATTTATTTATTCATTATTTGTTAATTCTTAAAACATTCATTTATTTGATATTCTGATATTTGATATTCGATAAACATTAAGTTATTTAATATTTGATACACTCATTTTCCTATCTATGTGATTCCTGTACCGAAAAGCTTGTCTTAACCCTAATTTACGTGTGTTTTAATGAAGACTTTCAATCTTTTTCCACATTATCGTACAAATTTCGCTTAACCAAACACAATTTACCCGTTTGTTTTGTACTTTTACTTGAGCCGAACGGGTTACAAATTCAATGACAGCTAAAATGCGAAAGGATTCAAGCAAAATGAACGAAGATTTGTCCGAAACACGATCAAAGCAACAATTCAACTCGTTTAACAGTGAGAAAATGAAGAGATGAAGAAATAAAGAGATAAAGAGATGAAGAGATTAAAAATATATAACAAGATTGATGAGAAAAAGATATTCAGGCAAGGCTGAGCGAAATTTGTATCTTTCCGTAGTCTCGTTTCTACTTTAAAACAACTTTTAGATGTAAATATTTGTAATCTTGAATGTAAAACGCTTGAATGCTAAGCAAAATAGTATAAAAGAGTATAAATCGAATATTAAGCACAATTATCATTTATTAAAACGAAATTCTCTTAGATATCGCTAAAAAAAACTAAAAAAAAACGGAAAACCTTTCATTTTTCTTGTAAAAACGATGGGAAATTTTAGATAGAACGGGTTGAATTTTAATTTATATGCAATTAAATGTCATTTTTACTGGTTTAAGCCCCGGTTATTATTTATAATATTCAGGAGAATCCATTGGAAAATCGAATCCTTGATTTCTTAAATTGAATTCTTGATTCTTTAAATCGAAGTCTTGATTCGTTAAATCGACTTCCTGATTCCTTAAATCGACTTCCTGATTCTTTAAATCGAAGTCTTGATTCATTAAATCGACTTCCTGATTCGTTAAATCGACTTCTTGATTCATTAAATCGAATTCCTGATTCCTTAAATCGACTTCTTGATTCGTTAAATCGAATTCTTGATTCCTTAAATGCATAAACTTAAAGTCACACACAGACAACAAACCACCAAGTCCACCAAAGAAATACGAGTTTCCTTTTGAAAATCCTTTGAGAAGAAACCTTGAAAAATCCGGATCACAATTAGAAAATGTCAAAAGAAAGCAAAGAAAAGAGAAAAGAAACCACGAAAAGCATTTCGAAAAAAGCCATTTAGTCTGTCTGGAAGCGTTCCCCATTTCAGCAATCCAGCAATTCAGCTATTGAGCTATTCAGCTATTCAATCATTCAGTCAAAAAAGTTGCGTTTCAAAAACACTACAAATTAAACTGCTAATCGTATTCGATGAAAACTCTCGATTCACTCATTTTCCTTTCTATTTCCTTATGGAATCGATGCGAAGCGCAGATTACGGTAAATCTTTACACTACAAATTAAATCTTTAGCAATCTTTAGCAAACTTTAGCAAAGTAAATCTTTAACTTTATCACATTACCCAAGCATTCTTTCTTTCTTTTGAAACTCTAAAAAACTAAAGTTAAAACAAAAATTATAGCTTTAAATATTAAAATTCGTATTTAAAACCTTGATAAGATTTAATATTGAAAGCTTAAAAGGAATGATTTAAAAGATTAAAAGGAATGGTTTAAAAGCTTAGAATCAATAGTTTAAAAGCTTAAAAGCAATGCTTAAAATCGAAAGCTTAAAAGGAATGATTTAAAAGCTTAGAATTAATGGTTTAAACGCTTAGAATCAATTATTTAAAAGCTTAAAAGCCCTGCTTAAAATCGAAAGCTTAAAGCCAATGATTTAAAAGCTTAAAATCAATGGTTTAAAGCCTAGAATCAACGGTTTAAAAGCTTAGAATCAATGCTTGAAATCGAAAGCTTAAAAGGAATGATTTAAAAGCTTAAAATCAATGATTTAAAAGCTTAGAATCAATGGTTTAAAGCTTAGAATCAATGCTTAAAATCGAAAGCTTAAAATCAATGATATCAACTTTTTTTTCTAACAAAACGAGTATAAATCGAACTTTTTTTACTCCAACTATTCTAGTTTTTGATTGCTATTTGAAGACGGAAACGAAACATGCATTTTTAGACAAAGATTTTAAGGTTTGCTAATGAAAAGGAAAATTAAAGAAAAGAAAGAAAGAAAAGGAAAAGCCAGCAATCAACGATTAATGTATTTGGTTCAAAAGCTCAAAAGATTCACATTGACAGTCCTGAATGTCCCTTTATAATCAATAATTTTGAAACATGATTTTTGCAAATCGAAAAATGCACGGCAAGTAAATGAAATAGTAGAAATGCTTATAATTAAGCTTAATTATAATTAAAACTGTTTATAATTATAATTAATCTCTCATTCTTTGATAATTTATCGAGTTTGTTCCGAAAGTAATTTCTCTGGACCAAGTCAAGAAAGTCAAAGCCGGGGCTTGGCGACAAAAAGCGCTTAGCCTTTTTATGCTGGCCTGGTCTGGCCTGGTCTGGCCTGGATGCTCTATGGCCTATCTGTAACATCCAGCAAATCAAGCCCATTCAGTGCTAAAGTTTGACTTTTCCATCATCGTAACTTTATATAATCAGCGCGTTCTTCAATTCGTTTTCTATCTTGTTCTTTGATAATGAGCAAGTTGAAACATTTAAATTTGAAGAGCTCTTCAAAAATCCTCATTTCAGCTATTCGATCTGGTGCAACCGAATCAAAACACGCGTGCCTTCGACACATTGTCGGCGGCCGTTTCCGGCGAGTACGATGCCCGACCAATGCAGTTTGTCAGTGTCAAAAGAATGATAAGAAAGAATTTAAAAAAGAATTAAAAAAAGATTTAAAAATAACCAAGAATCAAGCTGTTAAATCAATTGTGAATAAGACGAGAGATAAGAATCACTTCCTAAGACATAAAAATTTGAAAAACTAAAGCTTTTCCTTTATAGGATTGGAGTAATATGATCGCTTTCGGTGCGAAACCGATCTCTATTCCAACCGTCAATCAACGGTATCGGTGAGTTCGGTTTTTGCGTACTAAAACTATTGGCAAATTATCTTTTTTTAAGCTAAATTTGGTAGAGTCAAACTTTATTGTTTAATTTTATTGGAAAGTGGCCGAGGGTTTTTGTACCCGAGGGTTTTCGGGGTCGGTGAATCGATTGAAGCCATTCATTTTATTGAGTCTACCGGATTGTGAGATTTCGTGTTTGGCAAGCCGGCAGGCAAGCCCCCACCGCCAAAATTTGACATTAATATCAGATTTGTCTATCTTATCCACTTCACTTTGAAACATGCAATTCTGCAGTGAATAAATATTGAATCTTGGGTAAAAGAACAAATACTTATAGCAATTCACTAATTGATCGTAGATTTAATGTTGTAGAAAAGATGGCTTTGCAACTGATATATAAAGATATTCAAAAGACACCAATCAGAAGGGTGTGCCAGACGGCGAGCGATTACTCGGCCGCACAAAGAATCGCACATTGTCATCATTTACATTTCTCTTTTGATTTGTTGATGGAAAAAGATATTTAGCTGTAAATTTGTACCCGAGGGTTTTCGGGGTCGGCGAATCGATTGGCGCTATTCATTTTATTGAGTCTACCAATCTACCACACTTACCGCATTTTCCATTTCAGCAGTGTCCTCTACGATGGAGACATGGTGCTTTCCGAAGAGCAACTGGCTAAAATCGTTAATTATTCGACAAACGGACATCGGTGAGTTAGAAAAAAGGGGAAAATGGTGAGTTTCGTTTTAACGATTCAGTTTTACAGACTTCCAGATAATAAAAAAGCGTGCTTCAAAGCAATAAAGGTCAAAGAAATCGCTTTTCGCATAATTGTGTAATCACCATTATTTCTAGTGTTAAAAATCGACTTTCAGAAGCAAACGTGAAGCCTTTTTCGACGAGTTTTACCCGGCGACAATCTGGGAAAACGGTTTACCCTATGAGTTGCACGGATCGCTTTGTGAGTTTCAAAATTGACAAAGAAAAAAGAGAAATCTAATCGAATCGGTCTAAGGGTACCTTTCAATTACTTATTCAATTATAAAAACAAGTGCAAGGTGTTTAAACTCAAATTGATCAAGCTCCAGACACAACAACCAAAAGGCACTTTCAGCGATGAAAGCCCGTCTCTCGGTGATGCACGCGATTCGCTTCTGGGCGGCGAACACATGCGTGAAATTTCGACCTCGCACTTTTGAGAAGTTTTTCTTGCAGGTAAACTTTTAGTGTACTTTGTGCTGCTCTTGTAAACACCCCTTTTCTGGCGCACTGCAATTCTTCCATTTCTGTGTTCGTTGATTACCAATAAAGTCAAATGAAGCAGGCTTACCCCCATTAATTCGATTGGAACTGTTTTGAAGTTAAACTTTTTGAAACATGAATTTTTTAAGCTGAAGAGTGATGTGAAAAGTGACAATTTTCTAATTTTAAAGCCATTTTTCAGTTTGTTGGTTACGAGGAGGGTTGCTGGTCGACAGTGGGCAGAGACGACACTGTCCCAATGCAAATCGTTAGCATCGATCATGGTTGTGAACATGTGGGTTTGGTTAGGATTTTAATGCCGTAATTTTGTCTCTATTTTTACCCAATTAATCTACTTTTTATAAATTTCGATATCCTTTGTGAACTCACACAGAAACAGATAAAAAAAAGAAAGATTTGATAAAAATATCGAGTCAAGATTACGGTAGAAATGAGGAAGGAGGGCAGGGTTTAGGAAATGAACTATTTGTGAAATAAACTGTAAACCCGGACCAAAATTACCTACGATTTACCCATTCATATTGCCAATCTAAGACCAAATCCTCCCTGTCTTCTGTTGACCGTTTAAAAAAGCGAGTTTCAACTTGTTCACGATTGAATCGAGTTCAACGGAAATAATGGAAGATCTATTTTTCTCTATTTACTTTACAGCAGCTCTAACAATCGAGTTTTACTTTGTCAAAAGACGAGATTCTGTCAAAAAGTATCCCAGTCTTTCGCAGCTTATAATGAGTAACCGCTAGGCTATGCAATCGTAATTTCATTTTTGCTTGAAAACATTCAAAGTCTTGTACCAAAGGTGAAATTAAATCCAAAAGATAAATAATGGTACAGCTCTAAAACAGCTTTCATTGTGTAAAAGAGAGAAGAGTTTCGGCTTCTACAAAGTGAGCTCACTATCAGTTAATTGACAAAGCGAATTCCAATTATTTGAACTTACCAACTAAGCAAACTCCCCTCGATTCTCCAGTTCGGCGTCACATCGCACGAGCTGGCCCACGCACTCGGCGTCTTCCACGAGCAATCCCGCTACGATCGTGACTCCCATGTTGCCCTCAACAACGAGGCCGTCGAGAAATCGATGCTCTACAATTTCGCGAAAGTTTGTCAAGTTTTAAAAACTAATAAATTGAGTTAGAAAATGAGTCTGACGTCCAGGGAAAGCTAATTAAAGATGCCTCAAGAGAGAGACTTTTCGAAGAGTTCAAAGTTAGATGAGTTTATCCTTAGTCAGTTAAAAGTCAGGCCAAGTCAATCGTTCAAAATAAAACCAAAGACTTGGAGAAACGATTGGAAACTTGTAACGTTGATCGAGTCAGTTCAATTTGCAGCACTGAAACTTTTGTGCTGCAGAGTATCAATCCTTCAAGGAGATGAGCTGATTGTTTTTGTTCTCGATCCGTTATCTCTTTCAACTCTACAAATTTCTAGTGGTTTAAACGGCCCAAAACATCTTCCCAACACCAATAATTCATTCATTTTATTTAACTTGAAACATCAATATATTTTTTAAGAGTAACTGGGTTTTTTTCTGCTACACAGCAGTTTTCAATACTGGATACGGCTTGGAAATCAAAATTGATTTCGATTTTGATCATTAAGAAGACGAATTGGGATTTGCAGTTCAATTATTTTGATTTTTTTCAACAACAGATACCGTTTCATTGATAATCCAAGAAGATTCGTCCAAAGTTTATTGATGACGAAGGGTCGGTTTATTGACCATCCCATTTCTTAATTGACTTTATTTCAATTGAAACATTGTATTTGAAAAAAATTTTAATAGCTTTTTTTTAAAAATTTTAATCAGTCCATAAGTTGAAGCTTTTTTATTATCTTTGGGGAGGATATATTGACGATCCGACTCCCCAATTGTCTTCAGTTCTATTGAAACATTGTATTTTTTTCTTCAAAGTTTTCCTTCAAATTTAATCGTTTGCCCAAATTTGAACACTTAAATCAGTCCATAAGTTCAAGATTTTTTATTACCAATCAAATTTGCCAATTGGGATTGCATAAATTGAAAAACAAAGTTCTGTCCAAGTTTAGTTTTAATTCCATGAAGCCCCATCATCTATTGTCAATCCATTTCGGCAATTGACATCAAACAAATTGAAACTTTTAGTTATCTATCGAGATGGTACTGGAAATTAAGAAACACGATCAAATAACGAATTTTCTTGAAAAAAATGCTAACTCTATTAAAAACTCTGTTTTTTCTTTCCCTTACCACCTGTGTTACAATAGCCATTCTACCTAAAGTCAAAGTTTCGTCAAATCTCCGTCCACAGGAACTGAGGTGTGCAAGTGAACATTTTTTATGTAAACGTACCCTTTCTGGCATCATAAATAAACTTTTAGTAAAAGATTTAGAAGGATATTTGCAGATCGGTCCCTCCCAACTCACAACCTACGATCTGCCGTACGATGTAGGCAGCGTCATGCACTACGCGCCAACCGAGTTCGTTATCAAAGTCTCAAAGACTTGGCTTATCTTTAGATTGAGAGGGTTTTAATTAAATACAGTATGCTGAAGCATAAGTAGTTTAAGAAAAACTGGCAATCATTTAGTAATTAGTAGAAAGAAAAGCCAGAGTTGAAAGTTTGTAAATACTCTAAAATTCCAGTAAAATCATAGCATTACCGCTTATGGACTAGAGCGCTAGGCGGGCGTTTTGAGACCTGCAATTCCAAAGCACTCTTCTAATTAAAGATTAAAGATTAGCTGATTATGACTTCTATAATTTCATAAGGCTTTCAACTGCCTATCCAACACAGATTCGCGAAATCAAAAAACGCGCCCGCCCTGAACGCCATCGATCCTCTCTTGCAGCAATCGATGGGCTCAATGGATAAACCCTCATTTCTGGATGTGCTTGCAATCAATTTACACTACAAGTGCACGGGTGAACTTCTTTTCAAATCGAGATTTTAGATTAAAACCACCGTTCTACTAACGTTAAACAGAACAATTTTACTTTCAGTAATTTGAAACATCGATATTTCTCTTTAGGCTTTCAATTAAGACTTGCACTTTTAGATGTCTGTTCTCGGAAACTGAACTGCCAACATGGCGGCTACACGGATCCGACGAGCTGTGATGTTTGCAAGTAAAAAGAGCTGTTTCCTAAACCCTGCCCCTTTCCCCCTTTCTACCGTAATCTTGTCTCTATTTTCATCCAATCGATCCACTTTTTGTCTGTTTCTTTGAGGATTTATAAATGATAAGATTGGATTGAAATCTATCGAAAAATTGAAAGATTGGATAAAAAGATAAAGACAAAATTACGGTAGAAAGGGAAAAGGAGACACGTTTTAGGAAATCTATTTGAAGAAAGGAATTATCTTGAGAAGCCTTAAAGTTTCAAAGTTAAGGTTTCAAGTTTAAGCAAGTATAGACTGTTATTGTTTTTGTAGCCATTTCTTTTCGGCCAGTATCTTTCGATCGATTGCATGAAAGAACCTCGACTTTGGATATGAGTTGTCGCCAAGAAAAGGTTGTGGGTATCGCTTGAAATACTACTATTCAAACAGCTTATACTTAGCACTTGTTTGATTAGATTCGATGATTCGACCAATCCAATCGTTTATCGGATCTCTAGCTTGGGTAATTAAACCAGATAAAGAACGAATACAAAAAAAGAAAGAATACAACTAAGAAATGAGGAGAATTTGGGACTAATTACTTGCCAGTAAATAGTACTTGTCAGTACTGTACTGCCAGTGCCAGTGCCAGTACTTGCCAGTAAAAACAATATGCAGGAAGTGTGCAGAATGCTACTAGTTGTAGCGAAATCAATTTCACTTCAACAAAATTCAACACAACAACATAATTTTTACGAAGTGTGCGTTTTAAAAAATGTATTACTCGCGAGCAAACACTCTAGTATTGAGGCGCTTTTTTTGATTTCTATTTCAAATATTATAGCAAATACAATACGAAATTTAGCACAAATGGGTTTAGAAAGGGAAGTTAGACGACGAATGATTTCATTGATCAGCGAGCGTTTCCCTTTAAACCCCCAACTTTGAAACTTTCAATTTTCTTCCAGATGTCCGGATGGCTATGGCGGGAAACTCTGCGACCACGTGGCCACCTCATTTTCCCCGCATTGTGGCGGCACGATTGAGGTGGAAATGAATAATAGGAGATTAACTAATACCAGATTAACTAATAATAGTTTTAAAATAAGTAATGACAGCTATGAAAAGAGTGTCACATTTTTTTTAGTTCGACTTCTCTCGTATCACTGTTTTTAAAATCGGTCTTTGCTAATTGGATTAGTTGAAACTTGAATTTTTTTTTCAGGCTTTTCAGGCTTTTTCAGGCTTTTCAGGCTTTCAGGCTTTCAGGCTTTCAGGATTTTAATCCTCATATAGCTGACTTCAATTGAAAATGCTAAGAAATAAAATTGCAAAATTTTGAAAAAATCATTCTACGATCGCCAAATTCGAAATCCAGCTAACGACTTTGATATGAGTGCAATTTGAAACAACAAAGTTTAAAAATTAATGTTCAAATGCCATGTTCGAAGCAGATCTTCATTCCGTGGATACTTCAATTTTTTGACATTTTAGGTCACAGAAAACGTGCGCAAATTCGAGATCTCCATCGTGCAAACGAGTACCGTCCATAAAGACAAAATGTGCGTCTACCATTTGAAAGTGAGAATTTTCCTGGATTTACTGATGACAAAAGGGAACACCTATCCATTGGGAGAGTGTGCCAGATCGTGAGCTATTACGCGGCCGCACAAAGAACGCATCGCCAGTCATTTACACCGGGATTTCTCTTTTGGTTTTTAGATGGAAAAAGAAGAGATTCAGGTGTAAATTTGTACTCGGGAGTTTTCGGGATCAGCGAATCGATTAGCGCTATTCCTTTTATAGAGTCTACTGATTGAAATTTGGTTTTAAACTTTTTGATCTAAACTTTTCCGAGTCGTTAATTTTTGGCCGTAAATATCTTGGAGTTTCCGGTTCTGCACTCAGCTAAAAAGACTAAAAGGTTAGCTAACTTTCAGCTAAACTTTCAGCTAAACCTTCAGCTAAACCTTCAGCTAAACTTTCAGTTAAAATCCCATTTCTCAGGCTCCACCCGGGAAACGAATCCTCATCAATTTGCTGCGTTTAAGCGGAAAATGCATCGAGGGATGCTACGTGGACGGGATTGAAACAAAGCTGAAAAATGATAAACGACCCGTCGGATACAGGTCAGTAAATAGTAATTTCATTCTCAAAATCCAGAAAAAAGTTCAAAAAACATTAGTAACTCATTCTGAAATCAATGCTATCAAACCTTCATTAGAAAACTGACTTTCAATGTGGAACGCTCAACTTTGAAACTTCAAACTTTTCGTTATAAACATTTTGAAGCCTTTGTTTTTTGTGCCTTGAAGCTAACGCCAAGTGTATTCAATTACTATTGCTCCTATAATTCTTTTCATGATCGATCTTTGTTTACGAACAAAATGAACATTCAACTCACTCAGAAATTGCCCATCTTGAAACCGAATTTTTTAAACCTTTCAAATTCTATTATTTCGTTTGGTTTTTATTGATTAGATTTAAATCAGCTTTCCCTGAGCTGCCAAAATTGAACTTCAGACTTTGGCTGATCCGGAGCAGAAATTGTGAACTCTTTCGTTGAGCCAAATGATTATCATTTAATTTACCATGCTCAAGCCGATCAACTTGAAACCCAGCTTCATAAACCTTTCAGATTTTGCTGTGCTGAATCACAATTGCGGCGACTCGTCTCAGAGAGCAACGAAATCCCGTTAATGGTTTATTCGAGACAAGGAAAAGTGCAAGCGACTTTCGAGTACACCTACAGTAAGTAGAGAAAGAAGCTTGGATCTTCACAAGGGATGGACCTATTAAAATCTATTCCTAAAAATTGATTCGACTCAACTTGAAACTAGGTTTTTGACAGGTTGCAAGCACTTGTTTCACGGGTGTGCTTTGTGCTCTCTGAAATCCCTCAAAACACCCCCTTTCTGGCGCGCTCATCTCTTCAATTTTCCTCTTACAGCTACCGGTTTCACGAGAGGAAAATGGAAGAAATGTGTGCACCAGAAAGGGGATGTTTACGAGATTCGAGAGCATAAAAGTATCCATTCCTAGCTAGGTCCCGATTCCTCCTCAATCCAAGAAATCCGATAAATCCAACCCAACATATAACTTTTAGAAATTAAACTATCAAAATTACAATAATCAGTTGACAATCGTATCACACACGAGATTTGAGAGCATAAAAGTATCCATTCCTAGCTAGGGAACCTAGCTAGGAATGGATTCCTCCTCAATCCAATAAATTCAACCCAAAATTACAATAATAATTGAGTTGACAATCGTATCACACACGACGCCTCATCCCCACTCACCGCCGACGATTTGACTCGCTTGGAAAAGACGAATTACGTCCATTTACAGGTTTCAACTTTAGAAAAGATTACCATATTGATACAGTTGAAAAATGGAAAAATGGAAAAACATTTTGGCTTAACAAACCACATAAACTAGGGTCTCAGAAAAAAACATTTTAATTCGATTTTTTGAAACATCAATTTTTTTACATCAACTTCTACTTCCTCACTAGTCCTTTGTGATGTCTTTTATGTCCTTTCAGGAACAAAGCTCACCCGACTCGGCCTTCACGCCACTGTTTCTGAGCCAGCAGTGCTTAATAATTAAATTATTTCTATTTCTATTTTACTATTTATTTAGTTAGCAAATAAATATAAACACTGTATTGCCTTTCCGTCTGAATATTTTTCTTGGTTTTGAGAAATCATTAAATTAAATCGATTTTTCAATGATTTGTCAGGTATTAAGGGAATCATACCAAAACTTTATGCCAGATGAGGAGCGATTATGCGCACAGAGAACACCTCGCCAGTCATGTGGATGAACAAAAATAGTGCCCCTTTGTTCGCAAAGTTCAGGGAAAGTACCTTTTGTGCTCCAGACAAGGCACGAGATATTCATTTGTTGAGAATCTCAAAGAGCTCTAGTGTCTGGTCTGATTTTAGCCAATTCCCCAGCACAAATCGGAAAGTTTTTTGGCTTTTTGCTTTGAAAACCTCTAAAGTGAGTCATTCAAAAAAGCTATGTTTCAAGGTTGATTTTATAGTTTGAACAAGGCAAACCTTAGTGCCATTTCGGTTTGTTAAAACAATTTGTTTGTTCTACCTAACTGGGTATTGCAACTACAGTTCTTGTCTTGTCTCATTACAGATAAAAATAGAGACAAAATATGGTAACGTTGAGAAAGGCTGGCTCTGTTTCTGTGATCTGTTTTAATTTGTAAAGCTTTAGCTTCAAATTCTGCCTTCAAATCAAAATCAGCTGGGATACTCAGGCTCGAAACTGATCGGAAACGTTGTTCTCATCTTTCAATACGTGAAACAAAAACTGGAAGAGAAGTACTGGATCAGTAAACGATAATGACAAGCGACTGGGAATTCGCAGCTAAGAAATTCTATTCTACAGTTGAATATTTCAATTCCAAAGTTCAACATCTTTCCCATCGCATTGAATTCTCTCATAAACTGTCTTGAGCAACAGAAAGCAATATTCTCGCAGCCAATTATCCTCCTTTTTAGCGTACAAGGCGTCAAAATGACCAATCAAAAACCAGACTTGACTCTTTTCTTTACGTTCGTCTTTTCTTCACCTTTGTAACTTCAAGATTTTTCTGGCTTTTCGAAAAAATGCTTAAGAATTCCCCCTTGCTTTGGAACATAAGCTTTTCAAAGTTCATCGTAACAAAGAATTGAATGTTTCAATGTATTTAAGCTAAATTTTGGATTTTCTACTTTAATGAATGCATTCTTTCCGTAAGTTAACCGAATATTCCCATAGCTGAAATTTTCAATTTTTTCAACTCTTTCTTTCAACTCCTTCAGAATCTAAACATAAAATAGAATCCTCTAAATAGTAGATATAGGGCTAAAAGTCAATCTAGACGCTATTATTAAGTTCAATTTGTTTTCAAAACCAGTTACAACCTTGAATAGTTGTAGTACAAACATTCTGTTTCAGCTAGGGTTTTTGTGTTTCAAAGTATTTAAAGTGAAATGCGCTATTCTCTTTTTAGTGGAGTAGTCAGTTTCATTCAAAAGTAGGGCATCTACAGCTGGTCAAAAGTCAAAAATTCATAAAATTCATAAAATTTTCAAATTTCAAATAGTTATGTTTCAACTTATCTATGATAAAATTTAGACTTTTCAGCTTAATACCACTTTATTTGGAGCAATGCGAGATTTCCTGTTTCAGTCTTTTTGCAGTCACTTTTGGGTTTTCTGACTTTTCTGATTGCTTCAAAACATTTAGATTTAACGTATTTTTAATGGGTTTTCAAATTTACCGTCAGTAATTTATTTGAAATTTTCATGTTTCAATGTTTGGCCGGTTAATTGCAATGTTTCAAATTTAATGCTTTTCAACAGGCCCTTTCCCTTAATGTTTTTTAAACGTTTCTTTTTCATTTTTCGACATTTTCATTCAATTTTGAAGGCTTCTTCAAAGGATATTTATTAAAAGCAGTAACTTTTAAGTTTTTTTCAAATTTCTTCTTTCAAAGAGGAAAATTTGGCGTGTTTCGGGATGAAGAAGTGCTCTAATCCTGTTCTCTTTGATCAAACAAATGAGCTTTTCAAACAAATGAGGTTTTTCACTCTCAAGCGAAAGCTATGTTTCAATGTAGTCACAGTTGACTACTAGATTTCGGATTTCATAGTCTTTTGTTGAATTTGCACAAGTGCAAAACTTGCTGTATTGTATTCGAAAATGAGATTTATCAAAAGTTGACATTTTCTTGCTTCAATATACTCAATTGTGATTTTTCTATTTCCTGTTTTTTTCAAAGTACAAAGCTATGATCATTTCCAGGAAATTACTCGTGAATGAATGCATTTCTCTTCCAAATCGCTCTCTTTGCCGTGGCGGTGGCGCTCGTCGACACCTGCATTCCAACGTCGTGAGTTTCAAAAATACAAAAATTCGAAAAAAAAGCTACGCTTTATACCCTTAAAAAACTTCAATATTTTCTTTTGGATAAGAATTATTTTTATAGTTTAAAGAGGGGATTAAATCACAAAAGTCACCCAGAAAGTTGATTGATTTGAAACTCGGAGTTCCCATATGCAAATTCGTTTTTCTGTTTTTCTGTTTTTCTGTTTTTCTGTTTTCCGAGATTTGAAATGAGCATAAAGATTCTGCTTTGAATTGGTCGCATAAAAGGCCCGGCTCAACCAGTTGTTTCTCTTATAAATCAGTATTCACTGTCAATTTAATGCATCAACGGTAAAGGAAAAGAAACGCTCTTTTCTACCTTAATCCTTTGTCTCTATTGTTTCTGATTCTGTTTTTCTGTTTTCCGAGATTTCAAGGAATTTCGGCAACGCTTAGGGTGAACTACTACTTAGAGAGAATACGGTAATCCGTTTGGTAGAACGTGTCCCTTTTTCTACCGTAATCTTCTTATCTATTTTTATCCAATCTATTCATTTTTTTTTGATTCTGTTTGAGGGTTCATAAAGGATATAGAAAGATAGAAAAAGTCGATAGATTTGATGAAAAATAGAGACAATATTACGGTGGAAAGGGAAAAGAGGACAAGAGGACGGTTTAAAAAGCGGATTATTTGAAAGTCAAAAGAGCAAGAAGCAAATTTACAATTCTCAACAAAGCTTCGAGAAATCGCGCGAGCAATTCACAAATCTAGCAATTTTCTAGCATCTAGCAATAATCTAGCAATTTTCACGATGCTTTATTGAAGGTTTCCACTTTCAACTAGTCTCATTAATGTTGAAACTTCTACTTCCTCACGTCCTTTGTGATGTCCTTTGTGTCCTTTTTGATGTACTGTAACTAGAGTTCTTTTCTCATACTTTATCTTAAAAACAAAAATTTTAAAGTACAGGAAGCTTGAGGATGCTTAAAGGGATACTCTGGCCTAAGAAAAGTCAATTGAAATCTGAAATTGGACACTTATTTTTCACGTCTTCTTAAGTCCGATTTTTACTTTTTTAAACTATTCTTTTAGAATGTAATGTTTTCTATTTTAAAAAAAAAAACAAAAAATATTGAAGATTGCTGTTAAATTTGAGAAAATATATGCAAAAGAAAAGAACGCAAGTGGTAAAATGCAATTGGACGAAACGAGACGAAACTTTTATATACTTTTCGTTCAAATATTCGCGTTTTAGAGTGATGTGGAAAGCAAAAATTACGAAAAATTACGTTTTTCTTCATTTCTCGATTGGAAACCTTGTTTTTCATATAGAAAATAGTTGTAGAGAAGGCTAAAACGCATCGAATAATAGATAAATGAAAGGTGAAAAGGCAAGGCAACTTTGAAAGAACTTTGAAAAGAAAGATAACTAAAGAAAGACAACTTTTAGCCCGGAGTACCCCTTTAAAGTGCTAATTTGAATCTTAGTTTCAAGTTGAAGGCTGTTTAAACGATACCTTTAAGGTTAATTAAAGAAGTTAACTGTAAAAGTCAATTATTTGTAACTTTAGAACATCGACAGCTACAACAACAACCACGTAGGTTTTATCACTTTGATTTTCAATCCTAGAGAAAGCAAAAGGATTAAGTGAGCGATATTCCAATTCTCTTTAATAACTTTGAAACTCAGTTTTTGGCGATAGTCGTAATTGTTTTATTGACCTTTCCAAAATGCACTAAAGTTTTGAAAGTGATAAAGTTTGCGGTGTTTTAGAACTACAACAACTACCACGTACTTATTTTGAGTGTTTCTTTGAAAGTGCTGTGATTTAGGACCACAACTACAACTACAACAACTACCACGACAACGTAATTCTCTTT